CAGGGAGTCCTTTGTGGGTAAACAGAGGTCGACTTAGCCCTTCATATCCCTTCTGGATCCATAAAATGAGAACTGTTTTTCTTTAAAGTTAATGGTATTACCTTGTTTATACGCTCACCTCTGCCATATGAATATGGAGTTTCCACCACTGGCTCAGGTCCACCAACAGAGGTGCGCACTGATGAATGGCTTCACCCCAGCGTGTAACAGGATTATTGATACAGCATTAGCAAACTGCTAACCATTCTGTGCATGTTTCTGCCAGTTTATAGTGTGCATATAATTACCTAACTGGGTGGAAACTTGTGCACGGTGAAAGTGGGCCACGCTCTTCCTCGATGCGCTGGGTCGAGTCGTCGTTCGTCTCGCAGTGAGCGCAAGCGCGTAAGGTCGCCCGTTGCGCGTGCCGCGTTGCAACGCTGTGGCGCAGGGCCGGGTCCCACTCCCGTAGGAGCAGCTGGTGCTGCGCGAGAGCTCCACCCGGTGCCGCGGATTGGCGTCGGGCTGCCAGGAGGCGCGCATGACGCTTGCGTGGCTGTCACTTTGCATCTTTTCCTGTACCATTGTGCCCCCCTCCATCTGCTTTGCTGTCGGCAAGAGGAATATTAATGCTCGACCTCTTGCCCCCTGCTTGCAGTCGCCACTGGGAACAATCCAGGTCTGAGTGGCAATGACATGAGTTCGCTTGTGTTGAACCAACGAGGGCACTGCCATGATCACCCCCCCCCCCTCCTTTGAAGCCACCTGACTTCTTATACAGGACCCATTTCTAAGAGAGGGTCTTGCCGATAAACATCTGGCAATTCACGAGCATTGGTTTAAGCAAGCCTGACTGCTGTTGAGACACTGAATGTTAAAATTGACCCAGTTTGCTTGTTTTTAACAAATGGCTGCTAAAATTACGCACTCCCAGAAGGCTGTGTGGCTGATGGGATGTGTCAAAACATTTTTTTTCGTGGAGGGACACATGTGAAGGAGGCAGATTGTCCTATTTTGTTCCAGCTAAATGTAGGCTTTCACCTTTATTGGAATACACTGCATACTATTCAACCCACAGCCTTGAGATAGACAGATACCCTCACCAGAAAAGTGTTCAACAAAATTAGAAAATCAGCCGAGTGAAACGGTGTGCTTTTGCCACGATGCTCCTCGCAGCTTGCTAATGAGGGAAGTGAAGCGGCTGCCTCTCTCTCAGCTGGGAGAAGTTGTCCTTGACCAGCCTGATGACCCACCACATGGCAGACTTAGATAGTGTCATTGTTCATCTACTCAGCAAAAAAAAACACAAGTGGTGCTGTTACACATTACAATTTGTCCTTTTGTCTTCACAGTCAGAGCTGCTGTAGTGGTAAAAATGGGCTGTTATACAATGGAACACCGTACCGGCACTTCTCATTACACCAAACCTGTATACCAGCACTTTTCAGAACTTTTCATATTTTTACTCTAAGATGCTTTTTTCAGTTGGGACACGGCAGGGAATATGGGCTGCAGGATTAATAGGTTTCATATTGACACTTCCACGTTTACATTTTCACCACTGGGTCCTTGTCGCGAGGCCAAGGCTCATTTGAATTGTTTTTGCTCACAATTATGACAACAAGGAACAAAAGCGTTAAAACATGTTTAGCTTTCATTGCAGGTTTGTCCATGATTCTCCCTCATTCCTTGTATTCCCAGAATGCAACACAACGTAAGCTAGGACAAAGCTGCAGCAACTCTGCTGCGGCCACTTGCGTCTGATTCGTCAGATAGGGATTGGGTTTGTGCCATCCCTCCCATTAGCATGGTTGGCTACGTATGGTGAAAATAAGTTCTACATACATCCCCAAAGCAAAAATATTTAGCCTTGGGCGAGTTTATAGTTCAATGCTCCAAAATTGTATTACAGTGGAGATTGAAGAGCTGAGGTTTTGTAAGCATGCTGAAAATGTAGGGAATGGTGGTAAAATGTATTTTTTGTCATAACTGTGAAAGGAGGTTTATGAAATGGCTCGGTCTTATTTTGTAGCATCGATACTCACATTTGTATTGAAACTAGTGTGGAAGCCTTTGTGCTCACCAAGAGAGCTGCAGGAGTGGGTACAGTTGGAGGGCAAACACATTGGTCTGGGAAATTTTACTTAGATTGCTTTCCACCTTCCACAAGACTAGTGTCAACCTTTTGCATGAAGTCTGCCCCTTGTGCTCTTCAGAACCGTGCTTCCAGTGCAGGGCCTGGCGCGGTGATACATGCGTGATTCAGCATGCTAGAGGCAAGAGCTGGTGGATTGTGTGGATTTGTGAAACTTGCCAAACCCATTGGGCTTCGAGGTGGCCACGATATTTCAGTACAGTTGGTTCTTGAATCCATCTGCCCAAACTTCTGAGTGTTTCTTCCAGGAATGCCGGTTTCTTTCCACACACAAAACATGCCTTCATCACATCCCGAATTGGATATTGCAACTCCCTTATCTATGGCCTCCCAAATCTCTACTCTTCAAACTCCACAAATTACTGCTGCCCGACTCTGCACCCACCCTCAGACAAGGGACCGCATCACCCCAATACTTCAATCCCTCCACTGGCTTCCAATCTAATCCCAGATCGATTTCAAGATCACATTCACCGTCTTCAAGATCCCCCATGCACTCGCCTATTCTGACCTCTCCCCTCTCATCTCACTCTAATCCCCTTCATATACACTCTGCTCCACCAATCAAGGCTTTCTGTTGAAGGTCCCAGTCAACCTTCGCTCATTGTGAGTTTGCTCATTCTCCTCTCCCCCGGCCAACCATGCTGTCGACTCCCCGCCTTTGTTCAAGACCTTCCCTTTTCTCACCTTCCATTTTCTCTCTGCCTACGACTGTTGGCCTCACTCTATAAAATATACCGACTGTATAACGCCTTGAGATAAGGTCAAAAACGAGATGAAAAATTGCAATATTGTATTGTGGTTACAGTAACATTAAAATTAACTAAACACTGCTCGTTTACATGGTGATATTTTACCAAGTGATATGTCGTCCAATAATACATTTATGATCTAGTTAGTTTTTTTTACCGAGATGAACTCTTGTCTGATTGGGTGCACTGTTTTTGTACGACGAAAACGAATTGGTTTAATCAAAGCAATGGTGGAGCTCATTCTGAAGTAATTGCAGTTGGGAGAGATCTTTAGAGGGTGTAAAATGGCACACCAACATGAAAATAACCAAGCAGAGTTTCATAAGTAACTTAGAAAGCTGCGGGAGAGAAAGTGTGTTTGAAAGGACAGGTCATAGAGTTAAAATAACGGAAAGACTCGACACATTTGTCAATAACACTGCCGTAAAAATAAATGTAGAGAATGGGACGTTTCAAGAAATGGCTCCTCGCAGAACATAGGGAATTAGTTAATGACAAATCTAGCGCTGAAATTTTCTTAATTTTTTGTTCCATTCCTTTTTAGCTGCTCTTAATTTTTTTATGTGAAACTTCGAACGTTTTTATTCTGCATTCTCTTTCATGCATTCATATCCCAGCCTGTGCTGATTTCTGATGTCCTTCCAACTCTGCCGTCTTTTTTTTTCCTCGCTCCATCGACCCTTCAATCAATTTGCTTATCTTTCTCCATTGCTGCTTTTTGCCACCACCTTGGCTAATCTGTTCCTCCACCAACCATTTTGCACGCACATCATTTGTCATTTAGTCTCTGTACCTGGTGCCCTGTCTTCTCAGACATTTTTCCTGCACAGAATCTTTTGTGTGGTAACTAAAGCCCCCCCCCCCCCCCCCCCCCCCGTGCTGTCTGCAACAAAACGCCACGGATGCTTTCTTTGAGCTCATTTCTCAGCACTGCTGCCCACGAAGCTTGGTATTCACAACCATTCTTTTGGCGGAAGGCTATCGTGAAGGAAGGCGCTAAGTTTCACAGGCATAAGTCTGCAGTAGTTTCACAGTACGGGGTGACGTTGCTATGTGTAATCCCAATTGAGTAATTTGTGGTCTAATTTCTTTGAATTTGGAAAATGTGGACTGGCCGGCAGACAGTGGCCTACTCATTTTGATGTGATCTTTAACATCCGGGGCAAAGCAGACGACTTGTATTTTCTGGTTAATACGCCCGCAGCATTAACCAGGGCAGCCTGCTTGATTCGAACCATGATCCTCTGCGACAAGGGAGAACGCGCTACCGCTGGGCTGCGTCATCACCCCGAGTGGTGCCACTGTGGCCTGCGTGTCGCTTTCCTTATTCTCCGTCATGTACTTCGCATCTGTTGTGATCATAACTTGCAGAGATTCAAACCGTCACTTCATTTATCATCATCACCACCATCCTCGGTGTTTTGTCCATGAGCTCATTTCCCTCTGGTAACTTATCTCCTAGTACCATTTCCATAACTGTTTGCTAGTTTTACATTTTATTGTAATCTTATAATTTTCCATTCATTTCAATGACACCAGCATTGCTAAACTCTGTCACATGATTATATTCAGCTGTCACTCCTTGCCAATCTGCCTTTGCCCTTTTTGTTATCGCAGCTCTCCGTATGTTGCATCTCCTTGGTGCTTCATCTAGCCAGGGTCGATACAATTAGCACTATCTTGTGGTTAGTCAACCGTTGTTGTACTTTGGATCGACCTACACCCTGTCACATGAATGTGGAATTTCCTCCACTGACTCGGGGCTGTAAAGAGGAGATAACCACTGCCCAGAGTTATTATTAACCTGCTACATTATGTACATACCTAACAGTCATAATTTCTAACGTTTAAATTTGGTTGTGAGCATTGTCCTTAAGATTTAACCGTTGAGATAAAATGATAACAATTGACACGTTAAAGGCTGGCACACCGTTTAACAATTTTAACATGTTTATCTGTGCCGGGTGGTGAAGGGTCTTAACACAATTTGGCCAGATCATTATATAGCCTCCCCCAAAGTCTAGTGTACGAATTATTGCGTTTATGTTGTGTTGATTAACGCCGCTTGTAACATCCCCCTGCTGCTGCTGCCGCCGCCGCTGCCGCCGTCACAGCTATGCGTGAGCTCGCTGGACCTGCAGTCACTACGCGATCTGTGGGCTCACCTGGAGAAACGTCTCTTCTCGCGCCTCGAGCACGCGCACATGCTCACCACGTGCAAGCTGCGCACGGGCGTGCTGCGAGCGTACGTTGCGCACAGCGTGCAAGCCGGCCGGCCTGACAAGACGCTCGAGTTCTTCCAGCGCGTGGGCCCCGAGCTGCACGGCTCCCCCGAGTGGAGGGAGTGGTTTGCTCTTCCATTTCTGCCCAGCCCAGAGACGCATTCCACCTTCAGCGCTTACTTCACCAAGCAGTGGAACGACACCCTCTGGCTCTCGCTACACAACTTCTTGAGCGTTCTGCTGCACACGATGCCGGTGCCCAGCTTGTTGTGTTTCGATTCCGAGGTGCAGAGGAGCAACATTTTGCAAGAGGAGAACGAGGCTTTGAGGTTCAAGCTGTATGGACAGGTTGAGGCTCAGAAACCCAGGAAACTCGCCGACGTGCCTTTCGTGCGAGCGGGCGAAGCCGACGTGGCCGTTACTGCGGAGCAGAAGTCTCGGCAGGCGTCTGGGTCCGCTCAGAAAAGCTCTTCTGTGAAGAAACAAACGACGCCCTTGCGTAAAGACGCCGCAGTGTGCGAAAGTGGGCGCAGTGGCGGTGTGCGCGACGGGCGGCAGACGGAGCGTGCGCGCCGCAATGGGCAATCGGAGCGGGAATCCCGTCAGCAGCTTCTCAAGGCGTCCGCCCTCAGTGTGGAGAAACGGCCCGACTCGGAACAGAGTGCAACAGACTCTCCCAGCAAAGCAGAGGCGCAGAGTAAAGCATCCGCCACCACCGCCGCCACCACCGCCGCCGCTTCGGGGGGAGCGCGTATCAATCGCGAAGAAGCCTCCCAGCAGCCCTTCCTCGTGCTCTGTCAAGAGGAGTATTCCGAGCACCATTCCCCCATAATGCACTGCAAGTTCGACGCGTCAGGGAGCCGGGTGGCGAGTGTGGATGTGGACGGGGTGGTGAAGGTGTGGTCTTGCAGCCCAACCCCCCAGACGCACACCACGGTCATGGCCAAGTCTCCGCTCCTGTCGCTCGAGTGGGCGACCAAGCCGCACCGTCTCCTGCTGCTTGGCAGTGGGATCGGCAGTGTGCGCTTTTATGACACCGACCAAAAGAAGTCCGTGGCGGACGTCACCCTCGACATGGCATACCCGCGCGTGCTGGCGCTTGCCTGCAGCCCCACGGGCGGGTCGTTCGTGTGCGGGGCTGCCGCTAGCGCCCACGGCAACGGGACGTCGCCTCCAGAAGCGGCCGGGGGGTCCGCCACACGGGGCCAGCTGTCTCTGTGGGACGCGAAGACGCTGCGTCAGCAACACCTGTTCACACTGGACCCTGAGCCCGTCGCCATCACCTGCGTGTCCTTCAACCACAACGGGAACCTGCTGGTGTGCGGGGCGACCGACGGGCTGATCCGCCTGTACGATGTGCAGCGCTACGACTGCCTAATGAGCTGGCGCGCGCACCAGGGCGAGGTGTGCTCGGTGGAGTTCAGCGGCGACGAGACAGGCGTGTTCAGCATGGGCGCAGACGGAAAGTTCACGCAGTGGCACCTGCAGCGCGAGGGCGCGCGCGTGGCCGAGCTGGAGGTACACGCCGACGCGGCAGGCCCCTTCGAGGTGTGCGGCTGCAGCGGGTACAAGCAGACGCACGCGCCCCGCGGGCGGCTCTTCGCCTTCGAGCCCTCGTCGGGGCAGCACGTGCTCACGTGCTCCGCACACGGAGGCATCGTCTACCGCCTGGAGTCGGGCTCGCTCTCGCCGTGCCTCACGCTGGGCGGGCATCGCGCCCCTGTGGTCACCGTAGAGTGGACCACGGCTATGGACTGCGGCATGTGCCTCACCGCGTCAATGGATGGCAAGATACGCGTGTCGACGCTGCTGGCGCAGTAGAGTGGCGCGGCCCACATCGCATGGTGTCGCACCCCGGCGTTACTCTCGGCACGACAACCACCTGCACGGTGATGCGTCGCATAACACGCCGACACGTCGCAAAGCACCACAACGAACGGCGCCACACGCCACGCCACAATACCCAATGTAAAACAAACATCTCCATAAGCAGAGCCCTTCATGGACCGACACACTCGGCACATCACTCTTGTCACGTTACTCACGCTCACCGCATGCCTTGCACGCAATATATGATCATGCGATGCAGCTCTGTTGTCCTCGGACAGGATAAATCTCGGTCGGGTCATGTTGTACATCTGTCACGTCTTCACTGACAGCTTCTGCTTACCAAAAGCACGCGCACCAGTGCAGGGAAATGCAGCTTGAAACGGTTTGTGTTTGTCCACATCTGAAGATCACACTTTGCTGCTCATGCAGGATATCCAGTCAACCTGCAATGTTTAATTTCACATTTACGCAAACATTACAGTTTAAAATTGTTAAGCCTCAATGAAAGATTGCTTCTTTGGTCAATGGGCACTGGTAATCTTTTAGGAATGTATTATGAGCGTTCCTCCATGGTTTATTTTCTCGCTTCTTCGACAAGTTGTGAGATTGTTAGAGTTGAATGATCTTTTTGAGCAGCGGTCCCCAACCTTTTTGGCACCAGGGACCGGTTTCGTGGAAGACAATTTTTTCATGGACCGTGGCGAGTGGGAGGGTTCATCATTGGGTCTTTGCCCCTTTTCAAAGAAGCTCTCCAGCGACGTTTGTTTTTTACTCATTTTGGCTACGGGTTAGCTTGTGGGCTTACCAAAACTGTGACAGACAAGTGCGCAGTGCGGGAAAGAGGCGCGGATGGAAGTGGTAAATAAAATAATGGGCGGGCCACGCGCGGACTCGCCTCTCACCTCCTGCTGTGCGGCCCGGTTCCTAACAGGCCGCGGACCGGTACCGGTTGGGGACCCCTGTTTTAGAGGTTTTCTTTTTTTTCCCAATGCCAACGTATTGCCGATCAATTCCCCACATTAATACGAAACTCCTCGCCGTGCTGGGCTGGGCATCTCGCACAGCGGGCGCCTTGGATGTTGCCACGAGGTGGTGCCACGTAATGTCGGTAAATCCACAATGGGAACAAAATGTGAGCGTTCCCGGCCGTTGGATGTCACCACTTCCGAGGCAAATGAATACGAATCCTGTTAAGAATTTAACACACACGTTTTCGCAGCCAAATCGATTCGTTATAACATTCTTGGTTAGGGGCTATGTAATGAACTGGCCACTTCTATGTTGGGTAGTGGATTGTCTTACGACATAAATCTGGTCAGAGCATTACATGATTTAACCCAAATCCGTTAAGAATATGTTAGAAATAATAGACACTATTAAATCCTTGTTCAAGGTTTTCAATTTTCTTACACTCCTTTGGGAACATTGGCCATTTTAATAGCATTTTCACCGCACCTCTGATTAGCACGGTGCGCAAGAAGTTCGAGATACATACATTTTACAGACAGCATTTGAGTTGTGTACGCAGTCACGTTTCACAGTATCGATGTTTGCCTGCCTACGCGTATTAAAAAGCGCTTAGCATTACGCTGAACGGAGGCGGTTCAGCACGGGGCGTGACTGCAGGGAAATAGGAACAGGGCCCGGGAATGAAATGAGAGGCGTCCATTGATCCGCTCCGATTTGACATCCTCCTGCTTGGCCCACTAGTCACGCGACGGACCCGTCTCACCCTTCGGGAAACGGGAGGAGGATGTGACATCGCTGCTTCGTCTGAACTCGTTAACCCAGCGACCCCACACCCTACAGTGCAAATGCTTTGCGGTTGTGCAGTGAAGTCACTCCTGTGTGATGGATGCATCTGTGTCGAACAAACGGGCCGGAACAAGAAAACCCACATGCATATGAATTGGGCATTTGTGCCTACGATTGAAGCTGCGGAGCACAGCGTTGTGCGAATGCTTGGCGCAACGTTCCCGTGTTTCGCAAATGGATATGATACACCCGTACGTGTTAGAAACGTGCTCCGCGTGACACGCATGACGGTTGGTACACAGGATGTTCAAGCAGAACAATACCCACACGTAGATAACCCATGGGCGCACTGCTATTGTGCATCGTATAGCAATGTAACAGCTATTATATTTATATTTAGGGTCGACCATAAGTGTTAAATACTGCATCGATGTCTTTGTTTTTGCTTTATCTCAAAAGCCGTTTATCGCCACACTGTTCACACAGTCATGCACACGATGCATATAACGTTGAACTGCCATGAGCTTATGTTGACTGGTGTATACAATGGAGAATTTGAGTTAATTTACAATTTATTAGCCTCGTCTATCTTTGTGAGTATTATTGCATAATAGTTTCCAAATGTAAATGTTTTAAGTGCACTTTTACTGACGCAGTTACTGAGCACAGGCCCAGAGGTCCAAAACGTCAAGCGGGCAGCAACAAACGTGCACTGTCAAAGTTGTTAAGAGAAGTGTACGCGTTTCTTTTCCAAGGTGAACTCAAAAGTTGAGCAGTGAAAGAGAGGTAAGCGGAGAGAGAGCGAGAAGTGTTGTGGTGACCTGCGGTGTGGTGGTTGAACACCATGTGGATGAGACAGCACTTATTGAAGTCGGTGACAATCTTGGTACGAAAGGCGTCACGCGGATGGGCCACAGATCCCTAATTCAGGGCAATGCTTTGCCTCTCTGCCTCCTTCACCTTGGACTGTGATTATGTTACAAACCCTCGCACACCTTGGATTATTTCAGTGTGCTAGTTAAGACTAAGATGACCGTAGTTGTGTTTGTACTTCATGAGACCATACGCACAAGGTTTTTACTCTTCATTCTCAAGTTTCACGTTGATTTTGTATAATCAGGTGAGAACTAAAGAGACCATGTTGGTTTCCTGTGCTAGAGTGACCCGGGTCACCAAAATTACAAAAACCAGAACATTAAAACAAAAAATAACAACAAACTAAATAGAAATTGGGGCAGAAACAATGGCATTCAGATTAGAGCAAAAACAACCATTTTACGAAAGAAATTGAAAACGGTGCACAAACAATATTAAATTTCGAGTAGTAAGTTGTCTTGTGCAACTGAATTTTAAAAGCAATTCAAAGTAAAATGAAGTTACAGGAACATAAATATGAATTTTGGGTGAATCGTGCTCTCGTGTGTAAAGAGACAAGGATGTGAATCCCCATGCCATGCAACGCCACCTCGCCAGTCCACACCACGACTCAGATCTTGTCTCTGCTCACGATGCGTGCTTTTATAGTTGCCACACTTAAAATGTTTTTCAGACTTGAGGTTTCTCTGCGATAATATTTGACATTTGAAAGGATGCCATGATCATGGGACCAGTATACAGCATTTGGTGTGGGTAGTGAATGATGGATTCAGTTATTTGGGTGATAAGTGGCATTCTGTTCTTTATTATGTGCATTACAATATTTTTCTCACACAATAGTTCGGAGCAGCGTCATAAATGCAATTGCTTAAAACGTTTGCCGAGCCCACACCATTGTTAAATGTCAATAGCCATTTGTTTCACCCTGGAATAGACTAAAACGATGGCAATGGCATGTGGACTCAACTCATCATAAGAAGTTCAAATCCTGGTTGGGGGGTAGACTGGGCCATTCATCCCTCTCGGGGCCGTAGATTGAGCAGCACTTTGTAGGGAATGAGCAGCGCTTGTCTCGGGGAAAGTGACTTTTTCACCACGGGGCTCGGGGGCCACCAGTGGAGGCGAGGGGAATCGTCCTCCCCACTCGCAGTTTTTAGCAGAGAGACACTTTGACCTTGAATACTAAGAATCGTGTGTGTGTGTATAGCATGGTGCAATCTCGGCTTCAGGATACATCATGTAAGTTGTGCACACTCTTTGACATGCACCACCTCCCACACCCCTTAATAATAGTTTTCTGTTTCATAATTTTGTCTCTGTGCACGGTAACCGTTTTCGGATTCCAATCAGCTTTGGGTATCCTGCTTGGTACGAATGTCATTAGGAGGCCACAGTCGTCCGCTGCCACCGAGCTTTGTATTTGTCACTCGGCCTCCTCCCTGGTCGTATGGCCCCTGGGTGAAAATAATAATGATGTGTCTTCACATCATCACGGAAGTATCTGGGATGTACACGCAAATAAGCATTAATAATAACAACATTGTTAATTATTTACATCCCTGGGTATTTGAACAATCTTAAAAAAATGTGTTTCATTACCACCACGGGGGGAAGGTGGTGGAATACAGATTCACTGGAGTGCACGGTCAAAAACAACGAATCCCGCATGGAGGCACGGCCTCTGTGTGTGTGTGTGTGTGCACACGTGGAAACAGCACGCCATTTGGGTGCTTGCAGGGGTTACCAGTCCCAAATTAGGAACCAGATGGTGGCTGACAAAAGTTTTCTCATTACCTTATGTGAAGAGGGATAGGAGTGATCTACTGGTCTGTCTGCATATAATTAAGTTTCAGAAATTAATAATTATGCTTTTTAATGTAATGCAATACGTGTCTGAGCAGGAAGCCCAAAATGCCAATCACATAAGTATTGGAAAGTTAATGGTTTTTCTTTAATTGTTTTCTTCTATTTTTGTTGAGGTTATTCCGGTATTGCACATATAATTAGTTGGTGGAGGCCTTCGGAGAGTGATGCTGTGCATACGAATTAACGTAAGTTGTATGTGCACTCTGCTACGTTTGGTGCGTTACCTTTTGAGTCAATAAATATTGAAATAAGCCATGCGCTATCCTCTTTGGTTCTTTCGGTAAAGTCGCGTAGGTAGAAAATCACAACACAAGCGGTCGTCCTCGGGCGGAAAAAATAATCCAGCAGTGGAACTGCTGAACCAGGAAGAAACACAGCGCTGTACGTGGAAAAGCCTGATGGCGCAGGGCAGGTTGTTTCCCTCTTGCATGAAGGCTTCTATGAGATGTAGTTACCCCTCTCCTCTTCGGCACGTGACAGCAAGTTGCTGTCTTGACTAACTTGTTCCACTGCCTACACGGCGTAGAGCCATCGGCGTGGAAGTGGGGCGCAAAGTGCCCTCGTCCACGGGGGAAGCTCGTGTCCCTGGCGGTTGGCGGTGTCTGCCGAGTCGTCTGTGGGGTCATCTCGAGCGGCGCGAGGGGCTGCGCGACACTGAAGCGTCGTCGTGTTTTATTTCTGCCGCTTTACGTAAAGTGTGTTATTCCATGTATAATTTTCACATGTATAGTGTTGTGTTGCGCTCTGAATGGTAATCAATGATTTATGAATACGTTTGTTGTGGTGGAGTATTCTGTGCCTCCTTGCAGGTCATTGTGTATTCATTTTGCAAACGTAAAATATTGCTATTCATTACTCCGTACAATTCGCTTGCGACATCCAACCTTCGATATTGAGTGCCTTCTTGGTATGCTCTCTGACTTGCCTGCAGCTGTTAAAACTCCATTACCCTGAGAATGTTGAACGTTAAACTGACGCTCGGTACAATGAGGTGATAAGTTGCCAAAGTTTGAAATGCATTTCTTCTCGACCTCGATCTAAAGCAATAATTCCACAGTATAAGCTGTAGCTTGAACATAAAAAGCAGTGCATTATGGGTGATTTTCTTTGCGCCTCGCTGAAGTGACGGCCCTTTAAATAAAAACTCTGCACACAAAACAAGGCACCCACTGGGCGCGATCTGCAGGTTCCTTTAACTCACGCCTTGGCCACGACCCACAACCCTGAGCCGACAGTGGCAGTGGTGCAAGAAAAAGAGAGCCTAATTGTGCCAGACTTTCACGCATTTCGCCATTAATAATTTGTTGATTTTTTTTATTGGCAAGCCACGGCTGTCGCTACCTCGTGCCTGTGTTCATTCAAATCTTGTTTTTCGTGGAACATAACCCGGGGGGGGGGGGGGGGGGAGTGTGGAGTGTTTGCTCTGAGTGCCTCGTGCTGGCTGTGGGGGCCCTCCTCGTGGGGCCAGTGAGTGGGCCCCTCCTCGTGTTGGCAGTGAGTGGGTGCCCCTCTTCATCACGCCTTGAGATGGGATGTCCACACAGAACCAGTGTTCCCAAAGCAAAGATGCACAAATTCTGCCCAGTTGGTTATCCTCTAAGATTTCACCAGGATAAATAAAACATTCCGACCGGAGTCTCGTCGATTGTTTTACGACGTCGATTTGCTTGCAGATGCTGCCGTGAACTGTTTGTGGTCCAATTCCTGAAAGCGCCGCGATGGATGGATAGAAAAGACGGCAACTATTGAAGGGATAAACAGGGGTGAGACGGTGAAAGAGGACGAGAGATCTCGTGCATGAGGAAAGAGCGAGAGACGTTGGGGGGGAGGGGGTTGAGGGAGGATATGGAAAGGGATGGAAGGTTATAAAGAGTGGTATTAGATGGAGGGAGAGAGGGGGAACAGGCTGGTGGGGGTGGGGGTAAAAGTAGAAAATGTGCCGGTATTAAGACACCCACTTAAACTTAACCAAGCTCTTAAAACTTTGGAGCGGGAAGGTCATGTTGTGTGCACTGTGGCTGAAAATTCAAAAGTTGCCGTGAGTTTCAAAGCCTCGTTCGTGCATGCGACTGGGAATGTGCATCCATGACTCTTTCACCCCGAAGCTCGGCAACCTTGCTTCTACCGGACTGAATAGCCAGATATAATTACTGCAGGCATGGTGGGAGATGTAAAGCTTGGCTGCTGATGGCTCGACTTGGTGTGCTCCCTTTGTAGAAAAATTGGCATGTTGTAGGAATTGCCACTCTGCGGCGGACGAACGTCAAAACGTCGCTATGCTGAAACGAGCACTTTGGGGGCAGTGTCGATCGTGTAGATTTAAAATAATATTTAAGAGCAATTGTAGTAATTTCGGGAATAAATTGAGTACTGTATCAAGTTACTAACATAATGTTTAAGAATGGGAATTTCATAAATTTCGTTGCTCAGCCCTTGAGATCACCGTCCCTTCTTGCGCAACCCTGCAGGAGGCCTTCACACCAAAATCGTGGATCGAGAACACGATGTTAGCACGTGAGAGGGTACAATGTACAGAGGTTAAACCAGGGACATATGTTGTCACACAGATGCACAAGAAGGCACGAGTAATCTCAGACTGACCGACACCGTGCAGGCCCTAACAGGCTGTACGGGTCGGACCTCTCCATCGTCAATCGAGAAGGAGCAGGAGGAGCAAGAGGAACCCACCACACACATGACTTGTGTGGCGAATACTAAATAGGCGGTGGATATGCTCCGGAAATGATGTTCACCCACAGAGGGCGGCAAGGTAACACTTTGAGCTCGGAGGTATGCGAGCAAGGAGACGACGGCGACATGACAAGGCCAGAGGTCACCTGGTTGGTGACCCGGGCAACCGGTGGCAGTGACCGAGCGGTGAGAAGAGACCAGGAGCCTCCATAGATCATTCTCATGAAGTCACCTTTCATGGGTAACCATGAGGGATGCTGCGGTACGATGACACCATGGTACGCCGTATGATATAAGCGCCTCAATAGTCGTGTCTCGTCCGTTTTGTATGAACAGTATGTTGAACTTTCGCACCGTACGGAGGTGCGGGGAAGGATAGTTAACTAAACAAGTAGTTTACACCATTGGAACCTCATTTGCCAGAAGAAAAAAATATGATAATTGTTTTTTTACCCTTTTATCTGCCAACAAAACTCACATGGTGTTGGACCAGATGACGCCAAAAGGCGCACAACTCAAAGACAATGCACCATCAGAGTATGAGAGACTAGGCTCTAGGGAAAGCTGTCTCGGGTGTGGACCAATCAACTTCAAGGACCGTGCATACATTATCAGAGTTATGTTTTTTGTTCGCATTACGACTGCAGGTATTGTGGTCTATGCAAACATGACTCCTTGTAAAAAAGGTGTCAGTTTTGTTGCCAGATAAAAGGGTAAAAAAAACTATTGTCACGAAAGTAGTTATGAAGGAAATTAGTTTTCAATCTAGATTTAAAAGAGCATATCCCCAGTGGCGTCTTAATTTTGGAAGGAAGAGCGTTCCAGACGGCTGCAGAAGCGCATCTGACAGCGCGCTATGTGTTGACCGTCTTTGATCGATGGCTCGCCAAAAGCCGCTGCTCCTGCCGCTGCGAGGATGACGGGAGTTAGCGTGCAGTGAGGTATTGTGGTTTTGCACAATATGATCCCATCGTGGCCATCGTTGCTCATTTAATTGTTTCGATATTAAATCTGACAATTCACGCGCCCTATACGCTTGTCTGAGTGAGAGGTCACATTGTGGTTTTATTTGTGCTTGCAGGATTGTTTGGATTTCAGTGGAGGTTTTGGATCGTGGTAATTCCTGCATTAGTCCTCGTTTTTTTAAAATCCCAGGTCTCCAGAAAAGAGAAATGTTGGCGGCTTGGTTGTGACGCGTGGTTTAAATCGAGGGACATCGGTGAAGTCGCAGGCCCTCTGCGTTCTCTTCGCGCCACCACTGCCAGAGCCCGCGCTGTAATCCGGCACCGTGGAGGTCAGCGTTGGTGAATCACACAAATTAGTGAAACCCTGCAGGGATTCATCTTCTTGGTTCTTTCGGTAAAGTCACGTAGAAGGTAAATAATAAAATAATAAAAATAAAACATAATAAAATAAAATTCTCACGACGTTTCGGTCAGCCCTGTTCTTCACCCGAGGACGGCTGCTTGCGTTGTGGCCGAAACGTCGTGAGAATTTTATTTTATTATGTTTGAATTTTATTATTTTATTATTTCCCTTCTACGTGACTTTACCGAAAGAACCAAGAAGATAGTGAAACCCCCTTTTTACCCAAGCATGTCAAGGGTCACCATCTCTTGACTTGCCCAGGGTATGGTGGCAGTACACCAAGTGAGTTAATTTCCATTGGTATTCCATCTGTACGGGGACTGAGTGTTACCCCCCCCCCCAACCATCGCACACGTGGGGTTTGTCTACGTTGTACTGTACTCCAGTGCCTCCCACATGCGTAAACACTCATTCATTATGTTGGCCAGATATCCCAATACAGTACTACAGAGCTCGGGCAATCGTTGGTCAGGTGGGTTTCTGACCGCCTTCCCCATTCGTCTTTCGTGTTTCCGGCGCCTCCGTACGAAAACTGCGCGCGTTACAAACTCCCTATCAGAGTCTCAACATTCAGTTCGCGCAAATGACGATGCTTTACACAATTACAACAGTAATATTCATCATTTCTAGATTTGAAGCTTTCGTGACTGCAAGGATTCATATTCTTAAGTTTTTTTTCGGTAAAGTCACGTAGGTAAAACATCAAAATTAATAAAAATAAAATAAAATAAAGATCACGACGTTTCGGAGGCAACACAAGTCTCCGTCATCAGGTGGGACCGTCACAGCCAGATTAGCTGCATCAAGTGAGGCAATGATTCAAGATGTAATCCCTTAAAAGCGAGTTGAGGGGGGAGGAAAGGGGGGGGAGCTCATCAGAATGTGGTAGCCAATGAATGGAATATAATATTCATATATATAAGAATATAATATTCATCATATATATCACCGTATAAGATGCATAATAGATGTGTTTGGGTGAGATCGCGTAAATACGTGTCGTTGAACCCGACACCACCCCGACACGGCCAATTAGTAAGGTTTGTCACGGTGTGTTTGAGAGTAAACCCGCAACATTTACCATTCGAGCACCGTGACGATTCGCCGGTAATTACAACAACCAGCCTCATCAGAGCGACAGCCAGAGCTGTGTGAAGAACTCCTCCTGTTTCGCTCTTATAAAGTCCTATATTAGCTGTGCTTGCGTTGGAAAAACCTCGGCACGCGAATCGTCGCCCCTGCCC